TGCTAGCTCTGCTCTTATCACACACCCAGGCCTGGGGCCTTCTCTGCTACTCTGGGGTGACTGACCTCTTGAATGAGTGGCCTCATTGGCAAACAGGCTCCACCCAACTCACGATTTGAAAGAACCAACAGCCCAGTGCTTTTCTTCGTACAGGTTGGCCTCGAGTAAGGGTAAAAAGCCGGCCCAGGGGAATAGGCTTAGGAGGACCCTCAGTCTGGGGATTCCATCACCATTGCAGGAGGACATGTAGTATGCCCACTCCAGGCCTCTATCTGTCTCCTGGTATTATCAATATTTAACCACGGAGTAGGGAGCCAAGCCTGGCCTTTTATAGCCTGTGCTGTCTCACAGTGCAGGTCATGGCCGTATATGAATTCCTCACAAGAAGCTATAAAATGAGACCTTTAGAGGGCTAGGGGTGGGGTAAGGCAAGGCAACGAATGAGGCTGTGTGAGTTACCCAGAAAGGGGGAAGCACCCCAGGTCCAACAGCACTGCGAGGGAAGGGCTTGGTAGGGAATGGGAGCAATGTGCTCTGTATTACACGTTCAATTCTGATCATCAGTGGAATCTGGGCTTTCCCACCTACTGGCTGGCTCCTTGCATCTCCAACAACCTTGGAGTTGGCTCAGCAGGGAGTGGGGTTCCCATTTCACAAGTGAGGTAACAGGTGGCGTAGGGTCAAGTGACAGGTGCAAGTTCCTCTAGGAGTTAAGCACTGGCCCACAGTGTGGATGGCAGTGTGGTGCAAAGGAAAGGAAACCCAGTAGGGTACCTAGAGGCCTGTATGGAACTCCAGCAGCTCATTATTTTGTGACTCATTCATTCATTCGTTCAATAAATATTACTGGAGCACCTACTACATAGGTTCATGGTAAATAAGACAGGCAAGGACCCTGCTTTCTAGGAGCTCATACTCAGGGCGGGTGGAGGGGGAGGACAAACAGGCAACAAAAAAGTAAGCAAAAACATAAATAAGGTAATTTCAGCTAACGACAATTTCCATGAATAATTTAAATAACAAAATGATATAGAAAGATATGGGGTAGGGGAGTTATAATTACTATATTTCTGTATTTCTGTACTAAAAACTGAAAGATGAGGAGTTAACATGCAAAGACCTGGCATAGCAGGTGCAAAGGCACTGAGGAAATAATGAGCTTAATGAGTTTCAGAAACAAAAAGGACATTGTAGCTGAAGCAAGGCGGGGAGGGGAAGTAGCATAGAATAAAGTTGGAGGGTAGACAGAAACAGATCTCGCAGGCCCTTGTAAAACAGGATAAGGAGTTTGGATGTAATCAGAAGCCACTGAGGGGTATTAGGCAGGGAAGAGACATGATCTGATTGACATTTATCTAAGATCACTTGGCCTGTGGGGTGGAGGAGAGTGAGGAGACCTATTGGGAGGCTGTTGCATACATCCAGGCATGAGATAGTGGTGGTTTGGACCAGGATGTGGCTGGCCATGGAGGTGATGAGAAGTGGTCAGATTCAGGGTGCGTTTTGGAGAGAAAGGCAGCTGATAGATTTCAAGAGAGAGGAACTTAACACTAACCCTCTGATGCACAAAAGGAATTCAGAAGATATTTATTGGCTCATATAACTGGGAAGAGCAGGG